CACCCCAAGCTGCGGCTTGGAGTGCATTACCATACTCTCCTCCTTGAGTGTAAGGGTCCGCATCTCGCTCAAGGAGCATCTGCACTACCTTCTCACGACCACCCCAAGCTGCGGCTTGGAGTGCATTACCGTAGTATCCTCCTTGAGTGTAAGGTGCCGCATCTCGATCAAGGAGCATCTGCACTACCTTCTCATGACCACCCAAAGATGCGGCTTGGAGTGCATTACTATACTCTCCTCCTTGAGCGTTAGGGTCCGCATCCCGCTTAAGGAGTATCTGTACTACCTTGTCGTGACCATACTCACTTGCCCAGATTAACGCTGTCCGGCCGTCCCTGTCTGATTCGTCGATATCATAGTCTTTTTTCTGCTGTAATATCAATTCCAATATGTTTTCATGGCCCAACAGTCCACCAAGTCGTATCGGACTCATTTCTGGAAGGTCTTCATATGGGTTCGTCTTCTGCCAAAATATTGGGAACCAGGTGTTGTACAAACTGCTGTTAACCTGATAAAACCTTAGAATTCGAGATATTACCGAATTATCATGAGGTAGGTATGCGTCCCGTAGATGAGATGGCCAGTGTTTTGCTGAATAGACTAAAAGACTTTGAACATAATTATTTTCCTCCAGAAAGTCGTCAGGCACCTTACACCTTTGGAATTGGGGGATGAGGGACTGTGCTGTTACTGCAACATCGCTGAAGGACAGAAACTCTAAACATATTCGAGTCATCTCTCTCTCAATCTCTTGCGGATCAAGGCAATTCTTCCACCTAGATGGAATAGTCGTGTAGCCACCCTTACCAACTAGAAACTCCTTAGCCGTCTGGTGGATAAGGTATATTCGATCATGATTGATGAAGACGAATAGACCGCACCACTGACAAATATTATTCAACAGCCTGCGAGGGTCGAGCTTAGCATTATATACGGACTTGGGGTGTGCCGACGTGGCTATTCCGAGAGCGATGGCCATCTCTTCGACGTGGAGTGAACGCCGTGCCCCAACTATAATTAGGAGGATCTTCTTCACATGACTGCTCTGGTGTCCACTGATACGATTCAAAATCTTCTCGTATGCGTCTTCCACGCTCGAGGGAAGTAACGTGATCGATGCTTCCTCGGGTCGCAAACTGTTCCGGTAAGTCTGATAGATACTCTCAATCGCGAGATAAAGCCACAGATACGTGCGATGCCCCATCTCGAGGAGTCGAGTTTCCAGTTGGTCCTTGGTGTCGTTATCCAATTTTAAGTCTGTCGCGAGTTTTCCCACTCGCATTCGGATGACCAAGTCGATTTCTTGGTGAATTTGGTCGTTCTCCTCTTCACCCCGTAGACGGATCGTAGGGAGATCGTGCAGCATCTTCTGGAACTCCGCCTGTATATCATCATAGGGCCGGCTGGTTACGAGAAATTTCAGTCGGCCTCGCCGCGTTGACGACGGGAAGGCTGATACCTGGGTGTAAAACCAGGAAAGCATCTCAATCAGCCACCGTCGATCAGAGAGTCGACATTCGTCCAGCGCATCCAGAACGCACGTCACGTCGTGAGCCTGGTCATCTCTTGCGGCGGCGACCAACATGCGCCATAGCTCTGACACCTCCCTCACGAGTTTGTCGCCAGTCTCCTCCCATGCCGGAATTGCATATTGAATTAGCTGGGGCTGATGGGAGAACAGTTGATGGAGGAGGGCGCACAGAGCAGTAGCTACGTTGTCCTGCTCTTCGTTGTCCTTGAAAAAGAAGTAGCACACAGTATGCCGATCCATATGTCGAAATTCATTGTTAATGAGCGATTTAGCGAGGACCGACTTGCCGCACCCCGGATCGGCCGAGATCCAGAGCAGGTCATCATGAGCCTTTTTGAGCCATTGAAGATATTGAGGGTGGGACAGCACCCACTGACATGTTCCTTCCACTCGATCGGGATTGACATCTTTGAATTGTTCGTATGTGCTCGTTTTGAATGCTCGAAGACATTGGCGCTGCTGATGATTCTGATACCGCTGGTCTTTTTTCTCGTTTTCTCGTTTGACCTCGACAAGGTGCTCTTTCATCAAGCTGGATTGCTCCTTCAGAGAATCTATAGATTAGTTCGAATATCAGTAATGCCTTAGAGAAAGCTTGATTAATATTGACTACCTGATAGTTCCTACTTACCAACGATGTCTTGGATGGGCTTTTCCAGCCTCGTCTGCTCCGGTGATATATACTCGAGAAATTCTTTGGCGTAGGCTGCCGCCGTGAGAGCGGCATACTTCTGCCACCTATCATTCTTGTGAGAATCTGTATAGTCACAGATACCGCGAATGACAATGCACGGGAAATCATTCATCAGCCCAGCTGCTTCCATCTCCACGCACAGTGCTCCAAATTCCCGGCCTATTCTGTCTCTTTCCGCCGCATTTTTCATCAATTCATTTCCTGATGCAATAACCCCGTACCAAAATGCAGGGTGCTGATCGTCGCGAGCCGGTCTCTCGATCTTCCCGTCTGTACATGAGTGGCATAACCCCGAAGAGTTAGAGCCACCACATTGGGGGCAATATAAACTGTCATTCTCCCGCCCCGGGAACCCATACCCATTCTTCACCAAATTAGGATATTTCTTGACCATATCGGCCAGTATGCCTGGCACCTTGCTGTCCTCGAGATCGTGTTCCGCCTGCAGAGTAGAGAGCGCAGCTAGTAGTAGGGTCGGTGGTGGTTTCAAAACCCCTTTACGTTCGAATGGCTCCTCGCCGAGGTTCTTTCTCAAATCGTACTGGACTACTCCCCCGAACGTTAAGTCAGGCTGGCTGATCACCACGTCCCCGAGACGGATGTCCAAATTCTTAGGTAGGTTGGGGATCCCGCCTCCAATTCCCACCATCAGTCCAAACCGCAGGCCAATGAATGTCCTCAGCATGTCGTTGGCCACTCTCGCCGCCGCATTCGTGCCGTAGACGCCAGCTGGCAAGCAGGCAATCGCCACGTTGTGTTCGTGAACTCGGCCCAGCACATAGTTATTGGGATCGAGTTTGTCTTGACCCGTGATCGGCTGATGCCGCTCATCTAGAATGGCGATTGCGGCCGTCATCTCATGACGAAGAGCACAGATGACGCCTACTTGGTATTGCTCGATGGGCAGAGAACGTTTGGTGGTCATTGTGCCGGGTCCGACTGAGAAGTATGTACGAGAGGAGAAAGAGGGCCGTGTGAGGGGACGAAGCGAGGCAATGTGGCGGTAGAGAGATACGGAGGTTCAAGATGTGACCATCAGACTGATATCAGGCTGAGAGGGAGAGTCGGGGGGGCAGCCGTGATGAGATATAATCCCCACGGTGGGCAACTCTGAAAGAAATGTCAGTAAGACTCAGATCGCGACAGGAAGGGAATCTTTCGGGTAGCAGAGGGAAGAAAGAACTTCGGGAGGGGGAGGGGGGGCGACATGGTCTTCACGTCGGAAATGCGTCGTCTACGCCCCAGTTAAAGGATACGCAGGTCGGAGCAACAGCGACATCTTGCTTCTGCGGGCTGAGCACTTGATGGGCGCAGGAAGCACACGTGGCGTCTGAGATATCACGTGTAGGCAGCGGGAACGTGAGCCACGCTGTTGTGGCTGGTGGGTGAGTGCGTGGCTGTCATATTAATTACGAGGTACTTGTCATTTACGTGCCACCGTATTCGGTTCGGTCCTCGGTTGTTGGGAATCTGTGAGGAAGTACCCAACAGGGGTGGCACGTCGCTCCAGATGGATGCACAGATCGCGGACAGCTATAGCTACAGTATTAATATGATAATGAGTTACGATGGATATGCATTAGCATTCCATTTGTAAGTCTATTTCGAACCACAAGGCAATCAATTGCATACATACCGAATTGATTCAGAACGAGAGGATTTCATGCGCCCTTCCATCCTTCCTATCGAGAGCCGCACCCTTTTCGTAACCGACACCCGAACGATTGACCCTGCTTCTGAGCGGTTTCTTGCTATTCACGCCGCCATTGTGCATATACTCTATTTGGGTGCGGCTGGTAGTCGCATTGACAAAATCCTTTATGACCTTGACTAAGGGGACTTTATGGTAGACGGATCTACACAGTTGGGATATCTCACCACGCTTAGAGTTGGGGGTTGGTGGGATGGGCGGATTGGCGCGTATTGATCGCTTATCGTTGCTCTTGATGGTGGCTCATAATGGACGAGCAGGGGAACGGCACGGAAAGGTCATCGCCAATAAAGCGATGGCGAGTCAGACTTCGACAGAACGGCTTCGTGAACGGCGAGTTTGTGAACGGCTTCTCCAGCGCGCATCGTGGCGCAACTACTTCGCAACAATCTTAAGCACGAGTAAGCGCTCGATTAGAACTCGTTCTTCGAAAGGAGGCAATACTGTGTGAAGTTTGCCAGAACTTCCATTGGTTCAATCTGAAGCCATTCCCATCAGCCCACAAATACCCTCCAGAACTCATGATCGGAAATTTTGCCGAGAGCCGTTGACCTGCGGGTTGGGACGTCAATCAGTGGCACCAGTCGTTCTCAATCATTTTGATTCCATCATCCGCCGCGTTAGCCGCTTCGACCTCGTCATCGGTGTCATCCCACCCATTTTCATCTTCGAAACAACAATTAATATCGTCACTAGAGTCCGTCTCATTATCTGCGCGAAAATACCTCCTCGATCTTAATTGGTCCCTATCATTGACTTCGAGGGGTTAGCCACAAAACAGGTTGATGCTATGAATACGTACTGAGGAGCAGGCCAAGGTCGCGCACAACATCGTCGAATGTCGAAGCGTCCTCCTCACGACGTCTTGCCGCTTTCTGGGATGGAAACGGCTGTGTCTTTCCTCCAATGTATCCATGGCCGATAGACGAGCCAGGAAGGTATTCGTCATTGTCTGCCAGGAAGCCAAATAACTTGGTCATGGCCATGCGAGCGCAGTCCTTCAAATCCTCAAGCCATGAAGCTTCGTGTGTGCCACCAAAGCCTTTCAGACGGTCTTCAACTGCCTTTTTGAAAGTATCTGTGTCAGCATTCGGCACTATTACCGTCAATCCTATCTCGGAAACCTCGTTCTCGTGGTAGAGATGTAGACCAAGACTAGGGGCCTCAGTGACAGCTTGAAAGATATCATACATCGCTTCTCCTTGCTCGACGAAGGGAACCATAGACTTAGCTTCTCCTCGGAGGAAGTCCCGAAACTGCTTCGCATCCATCTGGGGAAGGTACACGGCCGTCATCGGTAGAGATTCGATTTGCGTTCGACAGATGCAACAAAAAATTCGTGATCCATCCAGTAATTGTTTGTCGCAATAGTAGTTCTTGCAACGCGGATAGTCAAGGCGACCTTGAAACGTGAAATTGACCTTCACATCATGCTTTTCGTAAATTTTTCTGGCGATTTCGCGGCAAGACCGGCAGGGTTCCTTGGACACATCGATGTCGAGTGTTCCAGGGTTCCAACGTGATATGGACGCTAGATACTGGAGAGCCTCGGCGTGGTTACTGCGATAGTCGAGATAAAGCGCCATCAATTTTGCCTCGGCATGGGAAGCATAGAACATTCCTTTCGATTTGCCCGTAGATGCCGGATCCAAACTATGCTTTGGGAGCGGTATCCCCATCTCGGCGGCGATGTTACAAACCTTTGCAGTCCAGATACTATTTTGGATGTTGGGCAAGTGCGGGTGGTCGTCCTTCCAACCACTCATGGACAAGGAATTTTGAAGGATAGGAGACGTGATGATGGCCAGTACTTTGGTCCTTCCTCTAACGCAATACTGCAGGGGCTGGAAAGTCCGCGTGATCGTGAGTTTTTCCCTCTCATCCACCCACAATGGCGGTCGATCTGGGCTAACCCATCCTTCTTGAGACGAGAAATCTCCTTGCAGAGCCGTTCGAGCCGCCAATTCTTGACTCTCTTTACTTAGAGCTTTATCGGCTTCATCCATGCCGTTCCCGAAAGGTTGTGTGATTCAAAGGTGGAGAGGACCGTAAATGTAGACACCCTACAGATGTCAGAGCGACACCAGAGGAGACATGAGTTGAACGTTGGGTAGCTTCGCGGGGTGCGAGGGCTGGCGAAAGTTTCTGCCCCATTCGGGCAAGCGCATCTGGACGAGTGGCGTTGAGGCGCTTCAGTGTGGCTTGACAGTGGAACTTTCGGGAAATGGCGCCTTCCATGCACGTTTGGGAAATGTGTCCTTGCCCACCCCGATATGGGAATTGCAGAGTATCAAAGGCTATGATAGAGTAGCCTCCTCATATGGCGCCCAATCTATCAGCATCACAGCATGCACAGATCCAGCACATGATTGAAAATGGAGCGTTCACATATTCTGAAATTGGGAAGGCCACTAATTGCAGCGTTGACGCAGTTAAAGCCATCAGTCGAAACCTTCGTGATTTCGGCAGTACCAGAGCACCTCAAACCCGGGGTGGGCGTCCCCTATCCATCACCCCCACCATGCGAGACGCGCTATTGGAACATCTCCTTCGAAAGCCCGATCTATACCTTGAAGAGATGGTCGTATATCTGTGGGACGAATTCGAGGCTCGCGTCACGAAGTCCTCTGTCAGCAGGACCTTACGTTCTGCGAACTGGTCGAAGAAAAAAGCTCGCCGAATAGCTAAAGGGCGGAATGCGGATCTACGAGATTTCTATCTACACAGCATTTCCCCTCTTCGCTCCTACCAACTCGTATACGTCGACGAATCTGGCTGCGACAAGCGGATTGGATTCAGGCGAACTGGGTGGACCCCCATGGGTGTCACACCTGCCCAGATTACCCAGTTTCACAGGGGCCAGCGATATCAGATCTTGCCTGCCTACTCACAAAATGGGATCCTACTCTCGCGTGTATTCCAGGGCACCACCGACAGCGCCATGTTTGAGGACTTTGTTGAGCAGCTCCTACATCACTGTGGAAAATTCCCAGAGCCCAATTCGGTGCTGGTCATCGACAATGCGTCTTTCCATCGTAGCGACCAGATCGAGGAGATGTGTTCTGCCGCCGGCGTCAAGCTACTGTACCTACCCCCATACTCTCCGGATCTAAATCCAATTGAGGAGTTTTTTGCCGAATTGAAAGCTTTCATCAAAAAGCATTGGAAAGTCTACCAGGAGAACCCGGGACAAGGTTTTAGGATATTTTTAGAATGGTGTGTAGATATGGTGGGAGGGAAGGAGAAGAATGCCAAAGGTCATTTTCGAAATGCGGGATGGAACATTGAAGAGCCAGACAAGGACATATAAATACTCCGTAGTTTGTACATACCTCAACGCCATCTATCCAAATTCCACACATCTTTACTAGTGGGACCTGCCTGCAGCTCCCTGAGAGCTTGAACGTACAGTGCACATGATATGATCAGACCAACCAAGCCAGCGGACAGACATAGCAAGCAACTTGACAGAATGCAATCAATCCACATGAACACGATCCCCGCGTCTCACATTATGCCATTCTACCATGTTCTGCAAGATCCGTCGACATGTATTCTGTGAAACGGAGGCGGTGGCTGACGTGTTCACGTGATGGCATCAGAACAGGAACATCACTGAGCGAATGCCTGCTTGAAACCCATTAAATGCCTCAACGGTTGAGAGGCTGGTCATCGTTGTTGCCTGTGCGGCGGCCATCACGGTAACCACCCTTTTGAAAAGTCGGTACTGTATGTAGCTTGGTACTACAGTAGGAGAAGTTGACGTGACTGAGCTCTGATTGATTGATTGATTGATTGATTACGTCATAGTCTGTCCCAGCCACCATACAGTAAGTAGCTATGCAGCGTACGACTATAAGTACAGGTGCTCCCCCCGTCGAGTTTCCGTACGATAAGCTGTTCCTGGTCCGAACTGCTTCATACCTTCCGCTCGGCGTGAGGACTCTCACCTGTACTTACAGCCTTAATGACTGTCCTGCGTCCGTGATCCTGTCCGGCCTTTCCTGGCCTTCCTCGACTTCTATCTGATAATAAACACTCGTCTACGCTTAAGTGTGTGCGAAAACCGTGGATGGCACTGCCCGGAATTGCTCTAGCAGTCCCGTCCTGATCATCATCTTGGCTGCACGTACGGCGATTGACGAGCTGCAGAGAACCTGCTTGATGTCCCCGCATGGAGTTTGGCCTGCCCACATTCTTTGTCGTTCTTCGCACCATTTCCGGCATTCCAGGAGGATGTGTCGTACGGTTTGACGACCGTAGCCGCAGTCGCATTGGTCGGTATCGGCTTTGTTGATGTCGTGCAAATAGCCGCGCAGGCTGATCTTGCCGGTGCGCATCTGTGTCATGACCGAGCTGATCGCACGGTGTGTGCCTGTATGTGGGGTTAGGAGGCCCTTTCCTGGTCGGACCCCGAGCCTGTAGAGGTCGCGGCCGTGTTTGGCAGTTTCCCAGGATCGTTCCCATTCGGCTTTCATGTTCTGACGAATGATTGATTTTGTGGTTGCTGTCAGCACCCGGCATGAATCCGGCTCCGGGGGAGGTTCCGAGCCGACCACTACGATGGGAGGTGTGGCAGCTTCCTTTGCAGCTCGGTCGGCTGCTTCGTTGCCCGGAACACCAACATGCGCAGGTATCCAGGAGAATTGCACCTCCCATCCTTGATCTCGGAGTTGATCCAGCGCGCGTATTGCGCGTACGAGGATATATTGTCCAGAGGGGCACTTAGGGTTGGCCATCGCTTGGATGGCGGCCTGATTGTCGGTGAATATGATGCATTTGTTGGTTGTGTTCGTTTTCGCTTGGGCATCGAGTGCCATCTGGACTGCCAGCTCGATTCCTCGTAACTCGGCTGCGTAAACAGTGGAGGTGCTCGTTCTTCCCATGTACTTCGTTCTCTTTGTGAGGATGTCTGCAACTGGCATGCTGAGTGCCACTGCTGCCGCAGCGACATGACCATCGATGCCGCTACCATCCGTGTATATGCGCAGTGCCTGCGAATCCATGGCGTCGTGTCGCTTGATGGCCTCCTCGGCAGATTTATCAATATATGTGATTGGTGGTGTCCACCACGGTGGGACCACGTGTTGTTGACGTTTCTCCAGCTCATTGAGCCGGACGTGATATTTGCTTTCGAGGAGACTAGACAATCGATCTAGGGAGCTCTTTCTGCCCTCGTCTCCGTCAAGGGTCATCTCTGCGTGGAGGGGTGTGGTTCGAATGCGCATGGTCGCCTCCAGGGCTGTTTGTTCAAGCTGTTGTGGTGCTGGCAGTAAATTGGCTTCCACGTCGACTGCCGCGCCTGCCGTGGTACGGAAGGCTCCAGTGATGATCTGCGCGGCTCTCCGTTGTATTCGAGTAATTGTGTTGAGCATTGCACTGCTTCCTCTTCCGCCTCGCTGACCCGGACTGTGCCAGGCCGAGCAGCCGTACAGCATTTGAGGAACGATCATCGCTCTATACACTTGTCGCAGATTAATGAGGCCGGTGCCCCATGTGGATGATGCCAGAGACGCCAACGCGGACAAACTCTTCGTGGCTTTAGTCTCGATTTTCTCACGGTGGTGGTCCCAGCGGAGTTGTGAGTCCATCTCGACACCGAGATATCGGCACGACGGTGAGGCCTCAATGGTGGCATGCGGCAGGTGGAGAGGGTGTGTAGTGTTTATCCGTGGGTCTCTACTGAAATGCACCAGTTCGTATTTCGCTGGTGCGAACTGTGACCCGTGGCGCAGAGCCCACTTCTCTGCGTCTCGATGACGCATTTTCAGCGCTTTGCAATTGTTCTGTGGCGTTGCTCCGGTGGCGAGAATTGCGATGTCGTCGATGTATCCCACCGCCTCGGTGTTGTCCGTTTTGCACGCGTCAATGAGACCCGGATTATAGAAAAGGTATAGGATGGGAGAGAGCGGGGAACCTTGAGGTATTCCGGTCTCGATGCGTGTCGACGGCGCCGTGTACTCCTGTAGCTTTAGTGTCGAGGATCGGTCACAAAGGAAGGAGTCGATCCACCGAACCAGCGTGTTGTCAATCCGTCGTTTCCGGAGGTTGTGAAGCAGTCTCGGTCGAGAGACGTTGTCAAAGGCACCGGATACGTCGAGCAACAGGAGGGAGGCCATCTTCCCTTCCGCCCACGCATGGTGTATGCGTTGAAGCAGGAGGTGGAGAGCGTGGTCCGTCGAGATCAGTTTTCGGCCCCCGGTGTGCTGCTTGGGGAGGAGATGATAGGTGTCCGCCAGGTATGCCAGGCGATTAGCGACAATAGCTTCCAATATTTTACCGAGTGTGTTGAGGAGAGCGATCGGTCGGTATGATTTAGGCTGAGTGTAGTCGTCCTTGCCTGGTTTGCGGAGAACCACTGTGATGCTTTGTCTGAAGTGTGCAGGGCAGTATCCTTGTTGAAGACAGGCATTGAAGAGTCCAACGAGATTCGGAAGTATGAGATCAAGTGTCTGGTGGAGAATGCCATTGGGAATGTCGTCGGTGCCGGGTGCCTTGTTCGGCGCGGCTTTGCGGATCGCTCTCTCAATCTCGGAGAGGGTGATCTCGGGGCATTCAATCGGTCGAGGGTACTCGAATCCTTCGATGTCGGACAGGTCGGCTCGTAGTGGTGGTGGAAAGAATGATTGACGTAAGATTTCCGCCTTTTCTTGAGCCTGACGGGCGAAATTACCATCTGGTTTCAGCAGCGTGGGCGTACATGTAGGCGGCACAACGTGCCTGTTTTTAGCCCACTTGACCAGTTGCCATAAGCCAGATTTCGATCTTGATGCATTCTCGACTCGCTGTCTGTGGGTACCGCACAGGGTCTTTTTGATGCGTCGGCCCTTTCGGTTCCGGGCTTGTCGGTAATTCTCGTAATCGTCGTCAAGGCCTGTTCGTTGCCATCGTCGCCGTAGCTGTTGGACTTCGCGGCAGATTTCCTTGCATTCCGGGCCAAATCCTGGTATTGACCGCGGTGACGGGTTAGACCACGGGGTCGAGGCATCGATTCCGGCTTGAAGGGCACTGATGATCGCATCCACATGTTCATCGATCCGTTCTCTGCTGTTGAAATCTGGGGCCACCATCTTTGGGGGAAGTTTCTCTTCGACTATCTGTCGGAGTCGCGATGAGTTAGTTTTGGTCCAAAGTCTCTTCTTCCGAGGAACAGTTGGTTGCCAGTCCCAGGTGATGGCGGTGGCGATGGGGAGATGGTCAGAGTCGCAGTCTCGGCTGGTGTCGACCCGGCAGTAGATTGTGCGAGACGCCACACCCTCGGTGCCGAGTGTTAGATCGATCATTGTTTCCCTGTCCTTCCACCTGTGAGTTGTGGTGCCCGGAACCGTCAGCAGCTGGAGCTCGAAGTCTTCGATGATGGTGAGTAGGGGTTGTGCGGCCGCAACCTGTTGACTGGTGTGGCGACGGACTGTCGACCAGAAGGGGTGATGCAGGTTGAAGTCTCCTAGGACGATGATTTCGTGGTCGGTGGCCACTGTAGCCATCGTCCGTCTTAGGTCGAGGAGAGTACTTGTGCCCAGTTCATTGTAGACGTTGATGATAGCGAGCTTATGGTGCAGGACGGGGTGGATGATTTTCAGAAGGATGACGTCCTTGGTGATGAACGTCACGTTCCAGGTGCTGGCATCGATGCGTTTGTTGATGTAGAAGCATACTCTTGTCTCCCTGTCCTTAAAGTATGTTAAGTGGAAATGCGTCTTTAAGGGGTGATAAGAGGTTGCGATGAACGGATTGCGCCAGGGCTCTTGGATGGCGAGAACGTGGTATTTAGAAATCCACCGGTCCTAGAAAAGACTGGCTAGGACGACATCTCTGGACTTTTGGACGTTGTACTGCAAGATGTTAAGTGACTGGTGACTCGTCATTAATGGGCGTTCCCATTAGTACTGTTTGTGCTGGGTCGTCCCCGAGTTCTTCGAGGCGTCGTGGCGGGCTCCACTCTAGGTATCAGTTTCCAAGATGGAGTGATCGAGCTGCCTCTTCCCATCGTTTCTCGCACGACTTTGATATTGTTTTGTGCGTGCCTCGCGGACCTTAAGTGCATGCGTAGTGACGGTGGTCTGTTGTGGTCGACACCGCAGTACATGCATACAGTCATGCATTTGGCGATGGTAAGTTCAGCGTCATGCGTCGGCCAGTCGTCGTAGATACGTTTATGTGCAGCACATTTGCAACTCCGGAAGATTTTGCCTCCAGCTGTATCTGACTCGCTAGCGACTGAGGTAGGTGACGAGGCTTCTGCGTCTGCCATTTCTGGCATCCACTCGCTATCTTCGTCGTCGAACACGTTGTTCAGCCAGATATCTGCATCTTGCGTCCCCAATTCTCCTCCGATTGTCTCTAGTGGGTATAGAGATGGTTCGTGCTGGTTGTCTCCTATGTCCTGCGTTGGGGGAAGAGTTTCGTGCATCGCTCTAAGTTGTGGGTCGATGAGCGAGTTAATGTCCTCGGGTTTATGTTGTTGTTGTGTCTCTGGCGTGGCAAAATCCTCCTCGGTGGGTAGAGCGGGCAGCCCTTCTGTTGCGATCCCTTCCATGGATGTCTGTATCGGTGCCTGGTCGTCTCCCTCCATTGTATGAAACGCGAGATCTTCCAACGCTGGTGCTTGCTCCTCGAGCTGGGCTGTTGCTGTGATGGGTTCCGGGGGAGTGCGCGTTATTGTCTGTGTCGTAGTAGCGGGCTCCGTTATAGCCTCTCTTAGTAAGGTCGTCTCGTGGATGTTGTGTGTGTGATTAATGCTGTATGCTCTTGTATGTGTGGTGTGTTCCTTAACGGGGACGTGCCAGTAAATACTCCGGTTCTGCTTCGCTAGTGCCACCCTCTCCAGTTCCTTCTTCCTTGCCGGGTAGGCGTTACTCCACGCCGTGTGGGCACCTTTGCACACTGGGCAGCGAGGGGTGAACCCTTCCACTCCCTTGTGTCGACAGTGTTTGGTCTCGTGTAGCTCCGCGCAATAGCCACATATTTAGGATGCGTTGCATTGAGTGCCGATGTGCTCGTAGTGGTTGCAACGGAAGCACTGTTTCACTCTGTAGGCGCGGTCATAGAGTTGACATTGGTGGATATGGCCCTCCCATGCCATCCCAGTATAGATGATAGCGTTGGCCATTTCTGGGGCGGTAAATTCGACGACGATAGAGGATGCACGCTTGAGAGGGCTCTCTCTAGTCAGCCACCCTACGTAGGATATTTTGGCCTCGGCGATCACGGTATAATTGTCGGCCAGGATCTGCTGGATAGTCGCTTTCTGGTCTTTGATATTGATAGATTTGGTAGAGATGCCGTGGACAATGACTCCATAGGTCGGTACCATAAGTTCTGCTTGACCTCCCAGTCCTTTCAACCATCCTGTGTTCTGTTTGAGTTGTTGGATCTCGGCGTTTGTGCTCGTGAATATCTGCAGGTCGCCGCTCTTGAGTTGATGCGCCGCGACGACTTTGACCGCTTTAGTCGGGATATTGTCGCGAATGGAGTTCTGTATGTGTTGTCTGGTCCAGGCAACTGGGTGGTTGCGGTATCGTTGAACGATGCCATGGTCCTTGAGCTTGACTGTCACCAGACGATCTCTGTATGCGGTCACTGTAGTTGGTGCCTTCGTGGCGTGCGATCCGTGCTGAACTGATGCGGGTGGCGGCGGTGGAAACGTAGAGCCCTGCGATTTTGCCGCGACTTGTGCCCATGATGTCTGTGCGGTCCTGACACCGCTGAAATTCGCCGCGTGGAGTGGTGTTGTACCTAGACCGATGGAGCCTCTGACAGCTGTGATGTCTCTCTGAATGGTCTGAATGTCCTTCGCCGCGTCTCGGATGTGGTGGAGCACCTCCCCAACGGACGGCTGCTGCAGCACCTTACCAATGAGCGCGAGGGTGGATTCGAGGTATGGCTGTACTATATTCTATGGTATCTGATTGTTTCTGCCTTTATCCGCTACCTGCAGTTGTTTATATGCTTCTCTCAGGTATGTGGCATGCTCGTTGATGTGTTCGGGGCCATTGTTTACCTGCGGCCATCTCGGCGCCATTACCACGAAATTACGCGTCCTAAACGCGTCAATCGTGATAATGGCCTAAGATAACGTAGGTTCACTTAGAGAATTATAAAATTTTACGCGTTTTAAAAATTCGGTTTGAGCTGTGGGTGGTGTTTTTCACTGAGCTCTAATTGATTGATTAATTGATTGATTGATTACGTCATCGTCTGTCCCAGCCATCTCTATAGTAGCTATGCAGCGTACGACTATAAGTATAAGCGTTTCCCACATTTTGCTTCTGGAAGACTAAGCTGTCCTGGTACGACCGCTTCCTCCTTCGACTCTCCGTAGTTAGCTCTCGTACTTCTAGCTCTAATAACTATTCCGTATCTGTGACTTATTAAGCCTTTCCTAGCCTTCCTTAGCTTCTATGTAACAATATTCACTCGTCTACGCTAAGTGTATGCGAGTACTATGGACGGCACTACCTAGAATTGCTCTAGTAGTCCCGTCCTCAACATTATTTTTGAGTTGAATCCTAGGTCACGTGATGCTCGCTGTAGGTAGCATCACAGCTAGTGATAACTGCCTACTAGGTAGTTATTACACTAGCCAGTGCCCTCGGGCACTAGCTATAGCTATAAGTAACTTCCGTACTCTCATAGGTAGTTCCTAATATCATCACACTTATCTCCTAGCTCTAAGCTTTAAGTTAAAAATAATGTTGAGGACGGGACTGCTGGAGCAATTTTAGGTAGTGCCGTCCACAGTACTTACATACACTTAGCGTAGACGAGTGAATATTGTTACACAGAAGCTAAGGAAGGCCAGGAAAGGCTTAATAAGTCACAGATACGGAACAGTTATCAGAGCTAGAAGTACGAGAGCCAACTACGGAGAGTCGAAGGAGGAAGCGGTCGTACCAGGACAGCTTAGTCTTCCAGAAGCAAAATGTGGGAAACGCTTGTACTTATAGTCGTACGCTGCATAGCTACTGTAGAGGTGGCTGGGACAGACGATGACGTAATCAATCAATCAATCAATCAATCAATCAAGATGAGGTTGATTCAACATGCCTTGGGATTACGGCAAAGCGTGTAACTAAAGTAGCAATTTGCGCCAGCAGGCTCGTCGACCGTATTTTTGAATGCAGACCGCCCATGCAACCGGAATTCCGCCAAGAAATAGGCGAGATTTCCCAAGTGTGCACTTGGGAAATCCCCTCGGGCATACGCGCAGCATTGATGGGGTCGACCAGCGACGGATGAATCACAATCGAACGCGTAGTCAACCCTTAGCATGGTTTTTTGGCAAGTCTACCAAGCGTGTGTGACCGCAAAACTCGACTACGCATCCACCGTGTGGCACAATCCTCTCAAAGATAAAGGGCATCTTAAGCTCTTGGCACGGCGCAGAGGACCGCCCTACGGATCCCCTTGGCATTTCGGACAGTAGCCACACAGACACTGGTATTATGTGAACCCACACGACTCCGACTTCAACAACGCGCTCAGAACGTCATTGCAAGTCTCAGCACCCCGCCGCACGATCATCCGCTGCTCGGGGTGCTCGAGAGGACGAAAAGAAGGGTCATGCGAACCTCTTGCCTAGGCGATGAGAACGACGGACATCGATCAACTAGGGGACTTAGAAATCATTGACCCACGACCACTGGAACCGTGGGGACGACCCGTCTTTTATAAGATCGACATAGAGACGGACAGAGAAGTAGCGATCCGGAAAGCTACTGAGCTCCAGAAGACGTCGGAACCAGTTATTTACACCGACGCATCAGCTAAGGACTCGAATCTAGGCGCGGCAGCGGTGATACTGGGCCCGAACAACAATATAAGATGAGCTGGCAAGGTGGCATTGGCTCGGTGAAGTATTGGAACCTCCACGCGTTCCGTTAGTCGTAATCTATCAGGCCGTGAAGATGGTACAGAGCGAGGCCGACGAGGAATTGACTCAAGATGCACCCCCAACACGGAAATTCACCATTATCAGCGGCACCCAGTCAGCGCTGCAAGCGCTCGTAAGGCCGTCAAACAAGCCTGGACAGGCAATATTCACCACATACTCGATCAAGCGAAGAAACTCCAAGAACATCGAGTCCAACTAAGTTTACAATAGATCCCTGGCCACTTGACAACCTACGGAACGACACCGCCGACAAGCTGGCGAAGGAGGCGGTCAGTACATGAGGAAGACCACGGATTCCGACACCTGGCGTCCGCGCTTAAGCGAACCCACCGGGATAAAATGCTCGAAGAATGGCGAAAAGAGTGGTGTTCGGCGGACAAAGGCAAGCATTTACGGAAAATTGATAGCGGACTCCCATCCAAGCGAGCTCAACGACTATATGGCCCACTACCCAGAGGGCGAGCATACATCCTCACACAGCTTCGAACCGACCACTCCTAGCTGGCAACATTCGCAAAGCTCCATCGGTTTGTCGAGGAGGACCGATGTGAATGTGGAGCAATCGAGACGGTGGTGCATGTACTGGTGAACTGCCCCAATTCGAGGACGCTCAGACAGCGGCTACAGAAGAAGGTAGGTGACGCAATGGACAGCATCGCACTTATGCTCGGGGGTTGCGGCAAGCATCCTACCAGTTAAACCGGCAAGTAAACAGCCAGACGAGCTTCCACACATGCATCCCCTGCAGAGATGAGGCGGGGGGATCGTTTTCTCCCAGCCACAGAGTCGTATACGAACACGGCAAGATGACGCCTTTTTATCTTGGGACAACACGGATCCCTATGCGGATGATGGGTATTGTCCTCTCTAGGGCCCTCCTAATCAAGTTCTAGCTATAGGGGGCTAGGCTTAGAGCCCTACACACGTAATTCAACTATATCAACCGTATTCGCCTCAGCTTTATCCTTTATGCATTTTGCGTACAAGCACACCAGAACAGTTCTCAACTTCCCACTACCTGTCAAATGTCCACCGAGCAATCCAGAGGCGATATGCCTGCGGAAGAGACCTTCGAGTGCAAATTTTGCGGCAATGATATCCATCCAAATTGGCAGTGCCCTACAAGCGCGGACCAGTTTCGACCTTGCTGCGGAGCCTACAAAAAGAGACCCCATATGACGACAAATAGTACTGCAAAGGATTGCAAGCGGGAGGACGAGAAAAGTTCCCAAAATCGACCTGAATGGACTGAAGGTCGTCAAAGAACCACTGAAGGTTGCTAGCTCGGTGCTACTCAAGGTGGGTAAAAGGAGATCCTATCTCGTGCGTGTACGTGAACGGTGCATACTGATGCATTCTTCTAGACAACCAGATTGTGCTGGGCGATGACTAACCGGTTGATACCCACGACGACGTCGTCTTTAACAAGGAAAAGCGATCTAACAAAGACAACTCGTCGAAAGGATATTCTCAGGCTAAGGATCGCATGTCTGGGCCAAAGATGGCCGTCCCTTGTACTGCCGCCTCGTATAGAAAGGAAGCAGAAGGCGGCGAGGTCACAACCAGCTTAATCCTTTGCCCCCACCATCACGTAAGCCCCTACACTGATGGCCTTCGAGTGACTTTGGCCACCTATGGGTTACGCTTATACTTCCAAAGGAAGAATAAACAATGGGAAAATGCAACCCCTGTTATTGGGGACAGGACCTCTACCTCAACAAGACACAAGTTCCACGAAACTGCGGGCGTGTTGCGGGAGAGCCCGAATAGTAAGGGCTTTTCGACGCTGCAGCCACGTCAACTTCTCCTCCGCCCTACTACCAAGGCTACCAACCGACTTTCAAAGGGTGGTCGCCATGATGGTCGCCGCATAGGCAACAACGATGACCAGCCTCTCAACCGGTGAGGCATTTAATGGTTTAAAGCACAGTGAGGTCCAGGCTTAGTACAGGTTTTCGCTCAGTGGTGTGTTAAGACCAGTCGACCATTTGCCTTTGACACTTCCTGCCTCCCTGTCGGTATTGCATCGAGGGAAATGGTTGGCTCTCGATGATCGATAACAACCACCCTTCAGTTTCATCATCTACTCTCTCGACGAGTTGCCTTAGTCACACCCTGGACTCCACAACTTGATGGCTTAGTGGTGTCCGCTCCTCGCCTCCCATCCACATATGAGCGGCAATTGGGCGTCAAGCTCTAGCCTCTGAAATTCCCGATCATCCCGTCAAAGATGTTGTCGTATTCGAACCCTTGTCGGCAGAAAGGTTTATTGAACGTTTTCCGGAGCTAGTCCGGCTGATCCTCATCACGTAAATGGTGTACATAATTCGGTTAGTAGGCCTCCGCAAAGTCCGCTCGCATTGTTGGCCTTCTTCTCCAAAACTAGATATTTAGTATCCCGCTTCGCCTTAAGGTCTTGCCAAGGGAATCTTTCGAGCATGAAACACACCAGCATACTGGGTGATCGCCCCCTAACAATTATATTCCTCTCCTTTACACCGTGGAAACACCAGTGAGGCTGAGGTTAGCCTCGTAACAATCAATAAATAAACTGCAAGAGGGAACGGGGTTAATATAAGATAGCTGCCTATTTTTATAGTCTTTATTTTGCCTCGGGCTGCGAGTCCGCAGGGCATTGATTTTGTGGTCAGTGAATTAACGGTAGCGATTCTAAGAAGATGAGTGGGACTTCGTCTCAAAAGAGCGCATCCCTATTGTAGATTCGGGAAGGCTTCTTTAAATCCCACTTAAAGTCAACGTACTCCCCTTACCAAAGCGAAAACCTAATTCGAACTCCCAAGCAGCCTTCACCAAAAAGTAGATAATAACCACTAATCTTCTCGTCGACGATCGCTTTAGCCGAATAGCACGCACTTTCCTCTCTACTTACAGATTGTACTCTAAGAATCTTACTAAAGAAGGCCTACGATATACCTACCCTAAATTCGAGCGCAGAGAAAGAGGTGAAGAATACTAAATATATTTCGTATTCACCGTAATGTATCGAGTGCCGGGAAAGCTTTTCGAATTCAACGAAGAATAAGAACTCTATGTTAAATCTTAAAGAGAGGTTAAATGGCCTCTAACCTAACAATTAAACGAATATTCTATTATAGCTTATGGACTTCGCGAAAATAAAACTTCAATTATTGAAGGATAGTCTCGCGTGAACGAGAAGAAAAGGTACACTAACGGCCAGTAGATTACATCGTTATCTAGTATATACGACAGTTCGAATAGTCGAAGTTACATCGGCTTAACTCTTTATCATCCAATTCGTTTTAGACCTCTATAGTCTCTCCATGGCTTCGCACGTAGATGCGATATCCTCCTTAATAGATTATGCAGTGATCGTCCAGTTCTACTCTAAAATCTTTAATGTCATTAAAAACGTTGTTCCTAAGGATAAGCTAGCTAGTTCTCATTTTTAAGTGGTGCTTTATCGAGGTTTTGGGGGAATATCTCTTACAAAATTGTTGGTTTTTCCTTTCTATTCACTAGAGTATACTAACTAAATGATAGCTGCTAAGCCTACACTCGATGCCGTAAAATAAAATTTAGATAATCGAGAAATTCTAGAGGCCCATAATGACGATGGCGGACACAACATGGGAAAATAATAAAGAAGAGGCATTTACACCCAAAAGGACTATCTGGACAAGGCTATCTTAGGCACTGGTGCGCTTACTCTCATGCCTTCGAATAGTAATGCTATCTCTAGCCTCCTCTATTTACTCCGAAAGGCCTATCCTGCTGCCCTGGTTCTATTATATCATATCGCTGGAGAATGCGAGCTTCCACAACTTGTATGTTCACGAAGACGTAGCCGAGAGTGGCGAAGGCTTCATAAATGAATAACTTTTTTATGCTCCTTGGAACTAGCAATAGTCGAATCCGGCAGATTTAAGTGTGCTACGCTGAAGAACCGAAAATATATCTATAGTCTGCCAGAATTGCAGTGTCTATAGCCAGTCACTAATACAACTTCACCATATATAATTAGATTATGCACTCCTTGAGTTGACTGTAAAGTTGGAGGGAGCCAAAAGTGCGCCCAGGCTAACTAGGTCGATATTCTTGCACCCCAAAATTCCACCATCCCTCCCCGTGTGCGAACCCTATACGAGGTATCAGGCAGCCTCTACTTAGCCAGTTTATGTATACGATAAGAGGAGAGAGCTAACTGTCTTCAGAGGTAGTCCTAAAGCCTATTGCCATGTTGGGTGGGGCCTATACCTAGGTATAAGAGTCACTCCTCTGCCCTCCTTTATCGTTTCCGGACCTTCTTCCCTTTACCTCTCTCATATATCTGCTCCATTGCAATGGCGCGCACGAAGCAAAAGGTAACATTCTCTTTCTTCTTCTTCGTTTTCAACCATCTGATAAACGCAGCAAGGTCGTTCTGTCGTTAAATTATTCGGCAAACAGCCGCGTATATCGCTGCATGCGAAGGCAGCTCGCAAGACGCTGAAGACGGCACCCCGAACTGGAGGCGGTGAGTAAAGGATCTCATCCTTACTGCCCCTATTACCGTATGCTGACCGCGACATAGTGAAAAAGCCTTTTCGATATAAACTAGGTACTGTGGCTCTTCGAGAGATACGGCGATATCAGGTATGTTTCGTTCTTCTGCTTCTTTCACATATAAAGTTAACGTCGAAAAGAGATCCACCGAAATGCTCATCCGAAAACTGCCATTCCAACGCCTTGTTCGAGAAATTGCCCATGATATCACACCGGCCCTCCGATTTCAGTCATCTGCCATTGGAGCCCTCCAAGAAGCTACCGAAGCATACCTCGTGTCAATCTTTGAAGACACTAATCTGTGTGCAATTCACGCCAAACGTGTCACGATTCAGTCTAAGGATATGCAATTGGCACGACGCCTACGTGGTGAAAACATCGACTACAGTCGATAAATGAATGGGGCGGCTGAGAGCTTCTAGGAGGAGTAGGAACCCGTGCATGAGTTACTAAGCCTGCATTTGGTGTACGGTTACATCGTGCTATCCCTTCGAAGAAATGTATCTGCAGCCTAGTCATGTTTCAACTCAGCAGCCGTATTTTTCTTGGGCGTTAGTTAGTGAAGCCGGGGACAGACTATGTGATAAGTACGTTAACTTCGGGTTATGTGGCAACGATTTGTAGGAACACCTTCGGATGTAGTTAGGTGTGAGATTTGTCGACCCTATGACCTCCACTAGCGACTGAAGATGACTATAATGAGAACCTTTACGATGGAGAAGATAAATGGCAGGGCCAGGAATATATATAGCACCATCTCGCGTAGTTCCTGCCCCATTCGTTGTCACATGCCCACAGATCACTAGAATACAATGCGTAGTGCTCAGGCTGGGAAGCACACTCGGATCGGAGTAACCACTCGCGGTAGCTATGGAAGTCCATCTGCATGGAAGCGCATTTGTTAATTATCCCTTCAAATACGATTCTCTGATTTTAAGAGACGAGAATCGGTGTCAGTAAAGGCATTCGAAAGAGATTCGTCAATTCGTCATTGCAACACTCTTTGTAACACCAATATACACAAGACTCTGCTTGCATCCTACGCCTCAAGAAGTCCGTCCACGATCCATCCATTCATGACACCAACAGCCGACTCCAATTCTTTTATCCAGGTTGATGAGTATAGAATAGCAAGAGGCTCCCATGTCCAGAAAACCGATTGGCACCATGGACAACCAAATCCTAGGCGATCTCCGCTCAAAGCAGCCTCGTCGATGCCTGGGACGTTCCGTCTAAAACAGTCAGAACACACCATTGTGCCGCAATCCGTTCTATAGTGATATTCACCATAGGCTAGATCACAGAAATCATCTGGCTCTCTTACCAGATATCTGAGGTGGCGGTAGATGGATCGCATCACCTCGATCGCTCCACCGTTAGCGGAAAATAAGGCAATCGACGCTCGAATCGTGGCTAGATTCTATCGTACGAGGTCTCGCTCATAACTCATAATCTTAAGATATTGCTTAGCCACTTCTACCTTATCTTAGGCTACCGTAAGCTAATGAAGAGTTTCTTAATACACCATTACGTAGTCCCTTTTTAAGGTCTCGGCTATATAAATAAGTTTAGAGATTTTATAGTCTTTATCCGTCAATAACTTCGACTATCTCTAGAGGGTCGACCGGGCTTTCTAGAGCTCTTTACGCTATTTCTCGGAGAATTCTACTAACTCGTAAAAATCGGCCTTTAATAGATCGAGGTTCCGTCGTTCTTTAGATATCTTCGACTCTAATTATTTTCTAACTTAAGTAAGAGTCCGCTCGACGTACTATCTCCCGCGTCTCTCCTTATTAACCTCGCTCTATAGAGAGTAGCGTTTAATGTCGAAGCGACTTTAGAGTTCCTTTAGATTCTATTGTACTCGGGTTTCATCCTCCTAACTACGCTTCTTAATACGTTTCGATTCTTCTCTTAGTGTAGTAATCTCCGTGGCTTTCCGTATACTTAGTATCTTCTCTACCCGAAGTTCCTCGGTGAGCTAGCTCATCTCATTTCGCATCTAGTCTAGCTAATCCTTCTACTCTCTTAGAAGACGAGCTTTATACTATTCTTAAGGAATGGTTACGGCGTTGTTCCGCTTAAGTTTCTCGAACTTTTTTTTAAGTCGTTTCATACCTCGACGCGCTTAGAGGACTTTTTAGTTGTTCTCTTATCAGTTCGCTCGTTCCTTAGTAAGTAAACGTTCTAGTTCTCCAACTCGCTCTTCTTAGGTCGTTAGTTCGCTAATTAAATTATCCTCCCGCTTCTTAGCTTATGACTATTCCGCAACGAGCTCGTCTCGTTCTCGTCTTAGCTAGTTAGATTAATTACGCTCTTTCTCTAATCGTTCGACTATGCCAGCGAACGTAGTTTCGAGAAGATAACGAGCATTCTCCATAAGAGAGAAGAATTAATTCGCCATTTCCGGTAGATGCTGATAAGGTAGTAGGTTTCGTATAATTGTGCGGCGTTTAAGTAAAGACAATAAGTCTCGAAGATATAGAGAGAGAGAAGGGATAGAGGAGAGAATGGAAGGAGCAGTAGTACTTTTATATCTTGCGCTCGTAAAGCCCCCTTGTTCATATCAATGTCGCTACCTAGAATCTTATTATATAGGATACGTCAGCGGATATATAAGGTAGACCATCTAAGTTTCTGCCCTTGTGGTTGCCAATGAGCTTCCCATTCGTTTCCCTCTAGTAGGGGGTGCTCCTCTAGTAGGGGGTGCTGGATAAATTACCTCCTTCTAGGCTAAATAGATTCGAAGGGCGGTCGTGGCAGCTTCGGCCGTGAGGAGACAACGTATGCTGCTGCACAAAGCGCACAGGCACGGGTCTATCATCTCCCAACCCTTGAAGCTACCATCCGGTGGGTGAACCAGCGGCCAGTACGGCGACAGCATTGGCCTATGCCGTGTTCTTCAATGAGTAGCCCTTCTCGACGTTTATAAACGCCGACATTCATCAGCTATATTTCACGAAGCTTCCAATGAACGCCTTTGGAATCGCCGTCGATGCAATATGGTCTTCTGCCTCAGACGATATTATAAGTCGAGTTAAAAGGAATAAGAATATCGGTAAACGGAGGTGACGCATTGGGGAATCATCAGCCTTTTCGCAGAAACTTGAAACTCCGAATTATACCCTTGTTCATAGTCACTTCGCCAACTCTGGTGGCAGACCTTTAGCAAGCGCCAGCCGAAGCGCTGGGAGCACCGGTAGGAGTTATTTTGAGGATTCTGTATGAGTTGAACGAAAGTGAAGGCTTTGATATGGGAAATTTAACCAGGTTGACGGAATTTCTTGGAACCATATATAATAGCATGAGGAATGACGGAGGAATGTGATCTGTGGGAGTCGAAATAACTACCGTTTTTGGCGTGCAGCCCGTCGATAACATCGGGCAGGTGATTGGCCAAATCCGCCACAGGTGGGAAGAGGCTGAGCCGGTCGGTGTTTCCGGGCCATTCAGGCAATGGCCCACTCTGAACACCCGAACTTCCTAGCAGAAAACGAATCGATAGGATTACATAAGCATTGGGGAGTGATTGGTGCAGACAACCAAAACTGGTCACCTCGTTTGACACTGCACATTTGCCAGCAGGACCTTGTCGTCGATCTCTATACAAATCAGCATTTTACAGCCTCATTGTCTGTTTCAGTCTCTTGTCTATCCGATGATCCTTGTTGATCCCCCTGATACAATATTGATGCAAATAGTGTCTTCGATCTGTTCACTCGGTTTTGGCCCTTCCAGACAACTATATATGCCCAGACACATACTGTATCTGCGGGTTCTGCAGACCGGCAGAGCCTTCAATATAATCGATTTGACAACAGGGTCGCTCAGAGATACAGGCCCAGATTCGCTGGCCTCCCCCTCCCGCTCTGTGTTGAAGCACGTTGCTTCCTTTTACTTACCCGTACTATTTCACTGGCACAACTTCGGGGCTTGACCGTCTCATCTCCAACGGCTGCGAATAAGGACCTCCACTGATGAAGATGTTTCATAGCAAATATCGTTACCGTAGAATCTCCTTCGTCTAGCCATATGGTTGATTTTTCATTTCTCTAATTCCAGTTATAGCCTGGTACAGGAGATTAGGAATAGAAGAGGCTGTCGAGAGAAGAGGTTGTCGGCTGTTTCCCATTGAACCTCCATTTTCGACCTATGTACTATGTGCGATAACCACCATTTCTTGTAGGTTTTCTAAACGTTGCTGCCTAGAGTCTTAGCATTTACAGGGTCAAACGCATGCCCCAAGGATTTTGAATTCTCTCCCTCTTCCCACCTCTTCATTCTTAACCGCAAAGGATGCGGGTGCCTCTGATCACGTGTTCACATGCCTGTAGACACACCAATGAGTTTAGGCTTAAATAGACCCGCTGAAAGGCTGGGTAGTCTGTCCTAAAGAATTGATGGCGTCTGGACAAAAGCATGATTCCGCACTGGTACCAGGCACAACCAGATGATTCCCAGGCGCTCAAAAATATTGATCAATCAAGAATTTGGTGCCCCACAAGCGTATTCATAGTTGACCAGTGTGTTCTAAAAGTTGACCAGTGTATTTGCATAGTTGACCAGTGTGTTCTAAAAGTTGACCAGTGTATTTGCATAGTTTGACCAGTGTATTTGCATAGTTGACCAGTGTATTTGCATAGTTGACCAGTGTGTACTAAAATCTCGACCAGTGTGTTCTAAAACTTGACCAGTGTGGTAGGCCATGCGTTACAGTGGCTTGATCAAGGCGAGAGGCCCTCCCACGCAACGTACGGGAAAATTAATTGGCCTAGCCTAATATTTTGAAATGCTCTAGGCCAATTAACTGGCTTAGACCACTCTTGGTTAAATGGTTTAGCCCCGGTGTTAAAAAGTGGTCTAGACCACTTTATTGGCCTAGGCCACTGTGCCTATGCCCAATGCGTTTTTAGCGGATTGAGGTGACTCTTCCCACTCATCTTGGTGGGACTTTCTTGCTTGATCATTTGCGAACCACCAATTCAGAAGCTGACTTCATCAAATATTAGCTGACCGTAGCATCTCGTGTCCCAGTGTTACTTATTGCTCTTCGCAGCCCACTGCTTTAGACAGGTACTGTACGAGAACGGGACCACCAGGTGTCGGCAAATCAGCAGGATCAAGCCTTTGATCAGTTTCGCGTTGATGTCTAAACCCCCAGGCGAGATTAAGCTATCCATTCTATGCCGCTTTCTACTGTACTATCCCTTGCGAGCAGGCGGAGTAATGTACAGTATTGTACATCCGATTCCACCTCCTTACACACAGGCAGTTGAAACAGCGCAAAGGCATAATTGTGCTATATAGCAATCTCCATCCAGCACAAAAAGCTGGAAATGGCAAGAGTTGACACTTGATGCTGTACAGTACTGTACAAGAAGTACTGTATTGAACTAACTCGACCCCAGCGATTGACAGAAGCAAAGGACGACTCTCTCCCAATCTCCAAGCATGCCTTATCTGTGGATGTGATAGGTCTGAAGCCGTAGTCTCAGGGAGGAGCTCCCGACTGTGTAGCAGTTTGTCGTTTAAATAACTCAGAATAATCTTCGCCTCAGACCCTGTGCCCGCGCCGTTCTTTGGGACTGGTGGATCTGAAAATGTAGTTGTTTGGCAGGTACTGTAGATAGATGCGCATCTTAGCTGATCAATCTCTACAGGCAATACTGCTACGAGAAAAGCTTTCGACAATATCCGAGGCGTCTTTGGGCGAATTTCCAAATGCCTCAAGAGCCTTCCAATCCAAGAAACGTATCTCCCAAGCACCTGGTCGTGAGAGAAGACGTTCATTGCCTTCTAGAATTGAGAGCCAACATTTAATGCCATCCAAGACATCGTTGGCGGACGGCCAGTAGACCGGAACGATGGAAGGCATAGAACGGTGGCCCACTACGGCAGCATTGTCCGTGATACGGCGAGCTGCTTGATCTAGGAATGCATCTCTCTTCGAGGTAATCTCCAAGGGAGAATACCAGCATGTTCTTGCTAAATCTGCACAGGGATCGCTACATAAGTCCCATAGTGATTTGTCGCAGAGTAATGGTGACGGAATGTTAGCTATTACTGGCTTTACTAGATCATCACGAGGAAAAGAATTGCGCTGGCCGGAGGAAGTCACCCGATTCGGCGTAGGGATTTGGGGCGTGATGGATGTTCCACAATCTCGTTTATGTTGGATCTTGGCAGGGTGCAGAGTCACACGAGCCGTGGATGGAGACCGGGTCGTATTGTAGTTCTTCCTTCGTTAGCCTCCTCGCCAACCGTTGGCTTTGTCATCTTGTGGAGCATAGGGAATGTAGGGCCCGACTCCACCGATCGTTTCCGCTTCTTGGTCAGTGCGCAAAGTGTATTGCCCTTCGGGATGAGGTGATCTTGTGAAACCGATTCTGTGATTGTCTCTGAATCGACGCCGTGGAGACCTCCACTGGAAATGTTAGGGAATGCGAGACTGCCTGTTGGTCGAGTAGCTTCAGGAACAGCCAACTCTTTAGGGAGTTTATCTTTGCGGCGTGGATGGTTGCTCTCTTTCAGATAGACAGTGCTTTACTTGGCTAGGCGTTGATACTCATCGAAGTCCAAGGAGTCGATGTAGGTGCGATCGCGATGGACTTTCTGGATCCGCGGGAACCGTAAGGTGAAAAATCGTACGTTGGGCGGGCGGTCGAATCCAGCTCCCACAACTTCAACAACCGCCGGTTTAGTGAACAATTCTGTCGGCGGGTGGAAAGACTCCAAACTGATCTCAACGTTGATACCCGGGGTAGACTGCCCGAAAGGCACTTAGCATTGTTTGCCGTACTCATTGAGATATCGCAAGTTAGACATTCCAAGATAAGGCCGGCCAACTGTACCTACCACCCGGAATCTTGGCTTAGTCTTAGACGAGAGGCCGACGTCTTTATTGGTTGGGCATGCCAGATAGAAAGTCGTCCAAGATAGATCACTGTCCCCCATCATTAACGCTTGCGTGGCATCGCGCCGGCCTCCCACAATAACCAAGTCGGCCGAGTCGCCCCATCCAGGAATGTAGTCCTTCTTCAACTTGATCTGGTGGACGTCACCGTGCAACGACATATACGGAGCATTTCAATCCTTTATAACCAGCCCTTCCTAGCCTTTAGCAATTGCCAACATCATTTTATTATGAAGACGACTTATACCGTTTAAGTGTCTCAAATCGATCTTCGTTCCTTCCCCGATCTCGGCTTAGCCAGTTTCGCGGGAGATTAGGGTCTCTAAGCGGCGTCTCCGTAGATGAAGAGGCTCATGAAGACACTAAATATTATCCAGAAGCAGTACATTATAGAACATAATCATGAGATACTCGTCCTCGTAGAGAGGAGAATCGCGGGCACATCCCAGCTGACGCCCTTCCCGAGAAATATACCGGCGAATCTTATAGAATGGCATGATTTAAGCCATTTAATTATTCCACATCAATAATTTACCGACCAAGACGCACTGGTTCGTAAATCTATAGGAGAAAGTACCGAAGCCTAAGTATCTCTTAATAGCGTCGTACACTTCGACACGATCTATGGTCGAATCTCGACCACTCTTAAAGAAGATTATGATGTGGTGCTGAGAATTTGTACGACGGACGTGGATCTAACAGTATTCGCCGTTATACTTCCTCTCGACGCTAATCTCTTTAGGGCCGGCCAACTAATAATAGTGTTGGATGCTACGCGCCTTGCCAAAATCTTAGAGTCCGATCATCGTCCCGAGACGCGGCTCAATCTCAGCGCGTGCCAATTCTTTCAGCGATCTCTCCAGGTTAGGAGGCGGAGATACGGGGAGCTGGCTAATCGTGTCGCCCTCTAGGAGTTAGACTGCACCTAATAATAATGTACGTACTTAAAGGAGAGTAGGCATAAGAAAGTGGAATGCCCGTAAGGCCGTGATGACCGGGATCTTCGCCGAACATAAGTTTTTTAGGAGTAGACGAATTATTCATTTCACTCCTACGCTGGGCAATCGTCGAAGAATACGCACTACTTCGTCGAAGGCCTCCGTGTAGCCCATGGTGATGAATCCCCGGAGCTTCGGCGACGAGAATACGTAAGTAGATGCTAATCGGTCTAGAGTATGGTCCATCTCTTTCATAGTGAGTGATCGGGGTGGATTTAAAAAATCGTCCGTCGCCGAAAGAACCTATTGGACCGCAGAAGTAAAATTCATCTCATCACGGCCTTATAGGCGCCGCAACTCGGAGATACGAGTGTGACCTAAGTAAGTCGCTTTAGTGACCATGCGTTCGAGCTATTGTGTCCGCAACACGTATACTCGATCAGCCCGTTTCTTAGGAAATAAGTAAGACAAAAGGGCTAGAGCAGGGGCTCCTCGACGTCGTATATTACTTTAATGCCGCTCAAATCATTCTTAAAGGCTTAACTCGCGGCTTTCGGGTCTTTTTAAGGACGATAGTTGCTCGAAAAGCTAATAGATGTCGAGAAATTATAGTGACATAGTGGCTAACGAAGAACTATAGGAGCGATGTGTCGATTAAGCGGTATAGGGTCCTTCACTTTATATAAGTAGGTATTGAATCTGCTCTAGAGAGTGATATGCTTGGTTATTGAATCGGTCTACCTGGCACCCTGTACTCCTAGACTCGTCATGGCCAGCCCACTTATACGACTCCTAAGTTACCCGATAAAGCGCTAAAGAAATCCCTCTGCTCGGCAGATAGCTGAGCTATGTTCGACTAGTGTGAAAAAGGATTAGGATCGCCTCGTCTAGGACCGGTTACAGGGTAGACTAGGAATACACCAACTACATTACGTAATCTGAGTCCTTCCGTAGCTTCGTGCCCCCATCATAAGGCTCCCAGCTACTCCTTACTTTTTCTGATTCCCGTCGTTCACTAATGAACCGGTTTACTTCACTTACTTAATGAAAGTCATCGACTCGGTTAGGGGTCTTCGAGGGAATAAGTAGGGTAATATAATTAGAAGGCCTAATTCTAACGAAGGATGGCGCCAGTATATTGCTGAAACTACGTTTAGATATTTCTATTATGGCTGTGAGAGCTATTCGAAAGCTCTCATAGACGAAGAAGTAGTAAAGATATAATGCTAACTACGGCCAGAACCGATGTAGCAAGGGCGTTGAACTCTCACCGCATCCTCCGTAGTTTCTCTAGATGAGAATTAGGTGTCCACGTACTTCGAGGATGGCCTTAGCATCTATCCGGGACATTGAAGAGGGTATATAGGCCCTAGCCGCCGTCGTAGACTTAGTTCCTATTGTGGAGGTCATATAGTGCCCCCCTCGACGCGCAACTCTCGCGATGATAGGTATCGCGGTTCTACCTTTCTACATCCTTATCGCACTCCACGTATAGAGGCGGCAGGCAAGGGGGTCTAAGGAGAAACATACCGACGCTGCTGCGCCCAGCTAATTGTTGCCTTCATCCCGGCCCCGTCTCACTCGTCAACCGATACGAAGATATCTAACTAATCTTGTCTGGTGTGGAACATTAATAGCGATGAAGGAGTCCGAACATCATCGATGGGAGCGGCACAACGGCACTAACTAATTCTAGACGTTTAGTCTCTGCTGGTTTCGTTCTGAGTATCAACCCTGCCCTAACTGAGATTCATTTGTACCCCGAAGATAAGAAGAGGGCTTCTTCCTAGCCCCATCAGGACTTTGTCGGAAACAGCGATTATTTCGCTCCCGTGGACTGGCGTTAGGTGGTTCGAAGTGGTGATATTCGGTGGTAGCTGCATACAACCCTCCATAATTTAATGTCAAGAATCCCTCTCAGCAACAGGCAGCCATCATCACGCAATTCTCCTCGTTCTTATTATCAGTTTCCTAATAACTCAAGTCCACATGGAGAGCTAGAAGTCACCGATCGCATCCTGTACCACAGACCTTCGCAGTGGCCTCAATTACATGGCTGTAAATAGACTTATTCGGCAGCGTTCGGTGAGACATGTTATGTGTACATTTGACGAATCTTAATAGCTTTACGGTTAGTTTTCTCTTCCATCAATAGAGTGAAATATATTAGCTACCATTATCGTAGACCACTAAATGCAAAGCTTCTTTCACCTAGCCTTCAATATCTCGCATAAAAGCTATTTAAATAGAGCACAAATGGCCAACCCTAACTCTCCAGCACACCTCCGTAGGCTTAGATACCACAATCCTAGTCGTTTTATAGTGTCTATCGGTTCGGTTGCGCGTAGCTTTACGCAGCTGTCTTTAAGACATTCGGCTTCGGAAGCCGGTGAATAATAGTAAAGAGAACTAGTATTGTAAGGTAGATTTTCGACCTTAACATCTAGGTGCTAGTAGCGTCCCTTATGAACGCGAGATAGAATAGAATTTCATAAAGTAATATAGTGGCGGTTAAGAGAAGAATTCGGAGGATGGAGTTCGCTAAACCTAGTATCGTCATCGAATCATCTCTTATAGATGTTAACTTTAAGTAAGGACTAAAGCGCACGATGGTGTTCCGGAAAGCGTAGAGTGCGGGAAATGAGTGGGAGAAGAGTGTAGACTAATCCTCTAAGGTAGGTTTCTAGATTACCCTTTCTCGATAAACCCAATCCTAGGTAGACTAATTTTAAAGTAAGCCTAGACAGATATAGAAGCGTTAATGAGAAATGTCTAATGATCTTCTATACACCCTTAAGGTCTATTCGTCGTAGGCCACCGGTGCGAGTGGATATAAAGCGTAGTTTAGTTTTATTTATCCCTACGAAGACGAACTCTCCCTAGTCGTATACGCGAATTCCCATAGAGAATGAAGAATGTGTCCTTCTCATAAGTAGGTGGCAATAACCCGGGAAGCCGTCGTTCTAATAGTACCCACTCTATAAGAGGCTTACGCAGTGAAAGAGGAGGGACTATTAGAGGTCCCGGGCAACCGGATGATAGCCGTGAGGATTGTATTCGCTCTGCATGACCCTGGTTCTCACTGACTAGCCTTACTATAGCTCTCGCTTATACTTAGACCGGTTTCATGAAGTCCTCGTAGCCTAGTAGGGAGAAGAGGCTTGGTCAGGCGTCGTTATCGTCGTCAATGTTGCCCTCGTATTAGACGTGTCTTTTAATCTGGAGGTGACGAAAGATTCCGCGAAGATTCACCACATTCCCATTGAGGTACATCGCCTGAGATATGCCTCGTGATGTATTAGAGAGATGTAGAGCCATTTCACCTAAGGGTGATTACTAGGATCGTATGCGCGTAGACGTGGCCGGATTCCACGCTTAACCCGACGCCCTTCTCGCTCAATTCAATCTCTACGAGCCAGCGTAAGCGAATGATCTCGAATGTAGTAAATAATTTCGAATGTCTCCCTCATCAATCCTCGAGGAGACAGAGGAATAGGTCCCATTCGTCCGTCTGATAGCCGTTCAAATATTCTCCCGAATTTGACCGCCCAGACGGGGACTCAATCCCGATATATATGCTCGCATCGATCTTGTTGATGTCTCAGTGTAGACATTATTGTGCATCGAGTAGCCAGACCTTGTCGGCAGAGTGAGTCGATGAATGAATGGACGCAGTGCAAGGCGTAGGAGGCGTAGTTGTGCCTGATGGAAGGTGATGTCAAAAGGGTTTGGCCAGGAGTAAAGACACGTTGTTGGGCGTTGGCCCCCACGTTACACTGGCCAGTCAGATGCTGTAACTAACTCATCCCCAAGCGCCCTACATTTAGGGTGAGTCAAGGGTGGGTAGAGGTGAGTTGGGCGGATTAGGGTGAGCTAGAGTGGGTGAGCCCGGTGAGCCGGGGGGAGCCAGGGGTGAGCTAGGGCGGCGACGCTCACCCGCTAGATTGGGATAGGAAATCCCGAGTCTAAGAATCTGGGACGTAGTTAAGAAGTAATATACTATATGAACTTATAGCCCTACGCTCAGAGCCTCCACCCGAATCGAGTGAAGACGGTGAAGTATCGATATCGATTAGCGCTGTTCGAATTACGATATTAACGAGAGCGCAGTCATTACGAAAACCGCATCCAAGGGACAGTGAATAGAACACTATTTTTAGCCTAATACCTTCTACTAACGAAGTAGAGCTAGAGTAGAAGAGCGATGAATTAAATGAACTCAT